AAGGAATAATAGGAAGGGGAGGGAGGGGGGGGGGAGGGGAGGGGAGAAAATAAGATTTTTAAGTTATAAAAAGCTCAGCTGAAGATGGTGTTTTCGGCAGAAGCAGTAAATGGAAGTTTGTGGATTGGTGGAGCAACAAGAAGCAGTTGGACTCATAAGTGTACTTTTTGTTATGGTAGTACAGCTTATTAAGCAGAAATTTGGTTTTGCCCCAAGAAAGTGGCCTGAATCAGGATTCGTTGCTGGAAGCTCTTTCCAACCTTGCATCTTGCCTTCCACTGACTCCGTGTGTGCTTCCTGTTGTCTGAGATTGACACTGTTGGCTCGCAATTTGAAGTGCTCTTTTAAATGTAGCTGATATATTTTTCAGTTTTGATCATTTTGATCAAGGTATCAGTGCCCCATTGGAAGGCTGAAGCACAAAACCTGAATTGTGGAAGAGATGTTAGATGCAACTGTTCACAAGTTGGAGCTTTTGTGTTTTCATATTCATCTTCAGATCAAGCAAGTTGTCATGCCCTGTTACCTCTCGGCTGCTGTGGTCAGATCCTTTTCTGGGAGAGGAGGTGAAGTTTTCCTAGAGTGCTGCAGGTTCTGCCCAGCTGTCCAAGCTGAGCCAAGTGTCAAACAGGAAGCTGGAGCTTCTTGTTGCTGTGACTAGAGAAAGGAGGGTGAGAGAACAGGCTTTGAAGAAGAGAAAAATCTTTTGAGCAACATAGCTGTTACCCTGCTAAGGATGCTATCTGAGCCAGGTAGTCACTCAGGAGATGATGTCTGACACCCCCCAAAGTTATCAAAGGTGTTTGACTTTAACACACTTTAACAATTCTGTGTACAGGATTTAAGCATGTTTTTAAATATATTCTGGCCTGTTGTGTGTCCAAGGCAGGAGCCTAGGCTTGGCACTGAGTAGCCAGTTCCTTCTGAAAGGTATAAAAGCGCTTGACTGTGCTAGTTACTTGGTATGTGTAATTATATATAAACGCAATTGCAAATCATCACACTCCACTTGTTTCGTAGTCCAGATACATTGTTGTTAATAACTGTGGTGACATCAGCAGAGAATGACAAAATGCATCTAGATGTCATTGTTTGGCAAATTTTTGACATTGAATACCCTGACTTCTTTTTTTATCTGGTAGCTTCTTTTAGATGTAGAAGAAAAGAGGAATCCACAAGTGTCATTCAAATGAAGCTTATTTCTCTTAATGATTTGCTTTTAAAAACCCCCAAACTAGGCACTGGATGATCCTCATTTCTGAAGAAGTTGGTAGTGTATTAATGGGGCTCAGCTTTCAAAATATACCTGCCAAAAGAAGTGAGCCTTGCTTTTACAGAAGTTGAGAAGAGATTGCTGGTTCCTCTGTCAGTGCTATCAAAATTAATTCCAATTTCTTCTTTGACTGGGCCTAGATTTTTATTTAAAAAAATCTGTACTTTTTGTGATAGAACCTCTATCTCTTAGTCAGAAGCTATACCCCAAAGGAATGGGAGAGAGCTTTTTGGCTAACACTCAGCATAATACAGTAGATGTACTGTCCAAACAAATTGTGAATTGACCTGTAGTTTGAAATAGAAAAAGCCATTAAAATTACTACCCTTGAGGAACAACTGACTCAGCTGCTTTTATTATAGAATGTTATTTATAAGGAAAAGATTATTTTAGGTACGTGGATCAGCAGTGATTTTAAAAAGGAAACAGAGTTACGTTGGGGGGCGATGACTGCTGAGGAATCTTTCCCATACAGCAGGCTGCCAGTGGCAGCAGTTTCCTGGCAACATGACCAAGTGGCTGAATGTGTTTAGTGATGGCTGTGTTAATTCTCAGCACAGCATGTAGACACTTTGCAGCAGTGCATTAAGCAACATCATTAACAAACCAATGACTTTTCTCTGCCATGTTTTTTATATGTTTATGAAGAAGCATGGCTCTTCATAATTCTCCTCTGGAATAACAAGGCTCATCTGATGCAATTTTGAATACTTAAGCATTCTTGAAGGATATAGTAAGTTCTGGAGTTGAGTTTTGATGGCATAGATAACTAAAGTAAAACCTTTCTTTTTGGTCTGTCGCAGTGTCAGGGTTTCAGGAATGCAGAGTTTCGCCCCTGGTGAAGTAATGTACCAGCTGAAGATTCTTCTCTTTAGATAATGTGTTGGTGTTTACTTGCTTTTGTTATTTAGGGTGTTTCTTGCTTCCAAATGCAGGGATATCATTTGAGATACTGCTTAAACTAATTCAGAAAATACAGGATTTTGTGGCAGAGATTATTTTCTTGTGTATTCCTTGCCTATTTTAGCATGTCCTTTCTTGATGTTGCTGTTTCATCTTCGCAGATGAGTTTTCTTTTAGGGTTGTGATACAGGACAGCACGAAGTTAAAGCCTGTTATCTTCACTGAAAGAAGTAACCCCCGACAGTGAAATGCTGGATCAAGCACCTTTGTCTTTTATTTTTCATACTTTTTTTTTTTTGTATAAGCCTCCAATTTTTTGTTAGTTGTTTTTTAGTTTTCTTTTTTTTTTTTTTTTGTTTTGTCAGTCCACAGTCAGCAGGTAGAAGCAGAAATAAGGGCTGAACTGAACAGAACTATTCTCCATCTGATGTGAGTTGATGTAAAATACTTTTGTGCATCCCCTAGTGAACCACTTTGGACTTTTGGTGTAAGCTATGTTGTAATTTTCAAGGTATTATTTAAGGTTTTTTTCCTTTAAAGCAGAACAGGACAAATCTGGTATGGAATATGCCAGAGTACACTCTTCAGAGCTGTGACGTGAACTTGGTCTGTGTCCAGTCTGCAGTAAACGGGACCCTGCTTCCTTCATTTAAGGGTTTATATTTTTGAAATTCCTTTCAAGAAATGCTGAAATTGATTAGTTTTAAAATATTGAGTCTCATAGTAAATTCAGTTGTAATAAACTTGGTGTCTAACTAGAATAAAGGTGTGAATCACTTCTATGTGTGAGCTACTGTTCCAGTTCAACTAATTGTCATTTTGGGTGTCAGAATTCCCCTTCTGAGCTGACAAAATGTAACTGCAGGCCGAATGCTTCCCCTGGCAGCTAAATACAGATGGGAAACAGGCTGTTCTTATGCGGGACCTGAGAGGGAAGGAATAATTTTCTTTTGATCTAACAGTTTAGTTAAGAATTATTACAAAAATCGTGCTGTAGCTACATCTGTGATTTAGCTTTCTTCATGTGATTTTTATGCCTTAGAATGCCATGCCAGCTGATTCTTTCCATCCTGTGGATCTGGTATCTATACAGTC